TCATGTACCACAGATTGGAGCTAAACTGTGGTACTCGTGCCAGCAAAAATCATTATAGCTATGAACATAACAAAACTCTGAGCAAGAATGGAATGTCTTAAATGTATTCTTGTTATCTTTACTTCTTGTAATTGATTATAGTAGCAAAGAATGTAAGTGATATTTATCCTTTTGATTTTAGACTTAGCCCAGTTTTGAACTGCTGATCTAGTGTTGAGGGCAAATTTCTCCTATCTGTGCATTACTGGTTCAGATATCTTCCTCTGAGGCAGCTTGTAGCGATCACAGCTGGATTAGATTAATCTTCAGAAGGGCAAGTCATGCAATTTGTAATTACTCAAATGAGACCTCTGCCTAGAGGTTGGGTGAAAATAACCTTTGCTTATATCGTAATGCTTTCTAGTGTTAGCTAACAAGTGGAATTGTACATCGTTGAATTAAACACACTTTTAGGAAGTATTTATATACTAAATAATGCTCAAAAGATAATAGAAGTAATGTGCTAATTAAAAGGAAAACATCTTTTCTACTCTGTTGAGAGACTATTCACAGCATGTAGGTTATGGGCAACGATGATCAAGTACGTAACATTATATTACATTTCTAAACTAGTGTACTACTGGTCTATTTTTGTGTGAGAGATTACTTATACCTTAAGGGAGCAGTTGGTATTAACTGCTGTTCTTTAATGAAAATGGTCTAGTGATTTCTGCAGGTGTGGATGGAGGGCCTGGGGATGCAGGCAAGTAAGCTCTGTTTGCATATGAAAAAGCAAAAAACCTATTGACTTTGTGTGTGTGTGTGTGTGTGTGTGTGGTGTGTACTTTGAGAGAAAGAGGTTTTGTTTCCACCAGTAAGGGTCTGATGTTATTTGTCTCTTTTCACTTCATGTCAGCAGCAATGTAGTAGACGCTATAAGAATCTGAAAGAAAACAGCCCGAAGTTGTGCACGTGAAAGAATGGATTCTGTCTGCGCATTTCAGTCCTACTTTGCAAGGGAAGTTTCAGGAGAATGCAGTTATTCCCAACTCCATGCAAGCCCTAGAGAGAGAGAATGCTTTACAAGAGTGTGAGAAGCCATCCATCTGCCTCGACTGCTAGTGCTAGTAGTGCAGTTTAGCTCAGGGACCAGATTTCTGAATGCACAGCAGTACAGTTTGAATTCCCAGGATATGGCACACACCAGGTACTGCTGCCCTCCTTCTTTCACATTTCCTATAGGAGGTCTTGATTTGCTTGATCTCCTAATCACTTAAAGAGCTGTAAGGAAGATAGCTCTTGAAAGAGGCACTCAATCTGAACCCCAGGCCAGGCTTTGTCTGTGTTTACTCTCTCCAGCTCATAGGTGCTGTAGTTTCTAGTGGCAGTGCCGGGCAAGGAAGGGTGCTTTGTTCTTGTGACCTTTCTGTCATTGGGATTCCATATGGAGTACGCTGTCAATGGGAGTGGATATGAAACGAGTTAGATAGTTTCTTATTATTTCTGAGACTATGCTTTATTTGCCAATTAATAGTAGGGTTCTTTATCCTATGAATTTTTTGATAAATTATTTCTGTGCATCCAGAGTGATATTTATCCTCTCTCTGAATTTACGAATGTGGCCTACTAATGCCATTAATACCTTAATACACAACAATGGCTGAACAAATAAGAGAATATTGTATTTGTGAAAACAGTTCATATGTTACTCAAGAGATGTGGGCAATTTCATTTTAGGGAAATGAGGCATGTAGGAGAACCTGTTACAGATCAAGAAGTCTACAGAACATAACTTTAGTGTCTCTATCTCCTTTTCATAGAATAGTTTAGGTTGGAAAACACCTTTAATATCGAGTCCATTTTCCTCAGATTTGACATCAAATTAAAGGCTATGAAGATACCAAGAAGTATAATATACATAGACACATTTTTATATGTTTAGATATAAAATATGAAAAAAGCTCTGTATGTATATATAAAATCTATGTATGTATACAGATGTGAAAAACATCTCCAAAATGCATTCTTATGTGGTTATCCATGGGTATCCAAGGACAACTTATTTTGCCATCGCATGCTGTCTTACGGAATATGCTTACTCTCAAATAATAGTTTGCAGAAGCAAATACTGAAAATTAATAAATAAACCCAATTTAGAGTCTCCCAGAGAGGAACGTGCTTTCGGTAGAGAGAGAAATCTCTAGAATGTTTCACGTCTATCATCAGGATGCTTGAGATTTTCTGTGGTAAGACTGTAAGGAGACTTCTGAGAAGCAGCATAGAAAATCCTCTCCCAGAGGCTTGGAGCCTGATTCTAATTATGTTCTTGAGTTGATCTGATCCACTTCACAATTTTGTTTTATTTGGTCAGTTTACAAATCTTTTTCTCCATGATTCTGGAAGATGCCAAGTTGCCAGATAATAAAACTTGATTGAGTGACTGGTTTCTGTGAATACTGTGTTTTCCTACCATTTTCAGTGCCTTTACCATTTTCCTCAGGCAAATAAAGAAAGACTTTCTCTGAAGATTATCTTTTGCATCGGATGTTATAGTCAGATTTTGATGTCAATACAGGATGCTAATCAGAGTGAAATCATCTGGGCTTGTAATGGCTGTTAAAATCCACAGAATATCATTAAAGTGTTTTACTGTGTATGTAAACCAGCTTAATTAAGCTAATATAGAGGGCTGGAGCACCTTTTCTATGAAGACAGGGTGAGACAGTTGGGCTTGTTCAGTCTGGAGAAGAAAGGGTTCCAGAAAGACCTTCTCTTTAGGCAGCTTCCAGTGCCTAAAGGGCCCAACAAGAAACCTGGAGAGGGGCTTTGGACAAGAGCCTGTAGAGACAGGACAAGGGGAATGGCTTTAACCTGCCAGAGGGGAGATTGAGATGAGCTCTGAGGCAGAAGCTCTTCCCTATGAGGGTGCTGAGGCGCTGTCACAGGGTGCCCAGAGAAGCTGTGGCTGCCCCATCCCTGGCAGTGTTCAAGGCCAGGTTGGACACAGGGGCTTGGAGCAACCTGCTCTAGTGGAAGGTGTCCCTGCCCGTGGCAGGGGTCCTGGAAATGGGTGATCCTTACGGTTGCTTCCAAACCAAACCATTCATGATTAATACATTTATAATTTGTGTGTATTTGTAGACATTTTGCCACCATTGAAGAAGGAAACCTGAAAAACTTAACTTTGATGATAACTTTGGTAATTGTAACATGTATCTAACGTCTACCTGTGTAGGTCAGAAAGTATGGGGCTATTAGGCTTCAGTCCACTCAATTTTTTAATATAATTTGTATATTTTGCATTGATTTTGACCTTTTTTTATGAGACTACGGTTAGTTTGCCAGTATGGCTAAAACAAAACTGTAATTATTTGAGCTGCTTTTATTAAATGTCTTCTGAAATTGCACATTATTACAATTCACCTTCTCTGTAAAAGTAACTGCTTTATCTGTCATGCGAGAGCTTTTTACTCTTTTTTTTTTGTGGTTTTTTTTTTTCTTCCTTAAAAAAAGGCAAAAGCTCTCTAGACTGAGGTGCACTTGAGAAGCTAATTTTTTCATTGCTTTTGACTAAACCACAAAGTTTCTGATTACTAGAATAAATATTAGATTGCAGATTAAGATATTCCCCTAATGAGAGTTTGGGTTAATTTGGTGTTGAAAAAGAGCTGACTATTTTTAATATCAGCCTTTTTATATTCTTTTAAACATTGCCACTAAACACTTCATTTCTTTAGAAGCATCCTGTCTGTGGTACTTCTGGACCTGATGTTGTTGGCCACTTTCTTAATGCCATGTGATCTTTCCTGGCTAATCTGTGAAAGAAGTTGTAATACTTAAAAATACACAAAATGAAAGAACCAGTTAACATCATTATTAATTGATGGCACTTAGGTGTGTTATTTATTTAGTGTATGAAATTCATCTGTATACCTTCATTCTTCTAAATATATAGGCAGAAGAAGAGGAGAAAATATAAGCTGCTTTTGGACAAAATAAAACTACTGTTTCAGAAACACAGACCACAAATCTAATTTCCCCGTGAATTAAGAAACTAAATAATTGGCAGTGATACTGCTAGCAACTTCAGCCTGGTTTTGTTCTTCATTTTTAGCCCAATGTAATGAAGATAAATTCACTTTGCTTTTTCAAACCTTTAAAAGCCTTAGAGACCAGTAAATATTTCCCTGTATTTTTTTACCGTCCTGTTCATTACTGTAGGAAGCAAATACATAAACTGAAATCAGCCAGCAAGTCTGTACTTTCTGAGAACCCAGGGGGCCTCCGTGTGCTTTAAAAATGTATGAGACTTTTTCCACGGAGTCGTTATTAGCTGCTATGGGTCACATGGTTTGACATTGCTCCTCAAAGTTTTGCCTTTAAGCCAAATGACCTCCTGATTTTGGTATCGATGCACACTTTCTTCTGGAAAATGGGGAGAAAAGGTAGAAAACAATGACAGTCATGACAAGGTCTGTCTGATTTTGAGAGCAGATATTAAACTTGCCAAATGCGAAAGTGCAAAACCGGTAAATTCTGTTTGCCCAAATAAGTGTTTATGGTTTATGAAATAGGAAACTGCATGAAAATTAGAATTAAAAATCCTACCTCTATAGAAGACTTGTATATGAGAAAATTAGCTTTGTTAGAAAAATTCTTTTTAAGTAATTAAATACTCCAAAGCTCATGCTGTGGTTCTACAAACATAGATTCGTCGTAAAGCAGGTCATGTCATTAGCACTTGTCACCAGCTTTATGTTAAATCGCATACCTAAGTGGTTAATTATTGGGCTCCAAAATAATAATCTAAAATTTAGATTTCTTGCCTATCCTTGTTTTGTGTATTTCATCCATTTTAACTATCTTTTAGATCTGTGCACCAGAGATCGCTGTAATTCATTACAAAGGCTTGGCATACAGCATAGTTAAAAGAAATTAAAAAGGTTTGTTATTTTCAAAATAAAAATCCCTTAGCTTTTAAATTATTTTATTTAAGTTGGTATTTTTTATTGCCCTTCTAGGAACAAACTTCACCCTTGCAGAACTAGGAATCTGTGAACCCTCTCCCCATCGAAGTGGCTACTGTTCAGATATAGGAATACTCCATCAAGGCTATTCCTTGAGTACGGGCTCTGATGCTGACTCAGACACGGAGGCAGGAATGTCTCCGGAGCATGCCATCAGGCTGTGGGGAAGAGGGATCAAATCCAGGCGAAGTTCCGGTCTGTCAAGTCGTGAAAACTCAGCTCTCACCCTTACTGACTCCGACAATGAAAATAAGTCAGATGAGGAGAACGGTAGGCCTTTTTCTTCAATATATTCTTAATGCACATGTATGAGAATGTGATAATACTTAAAAATACATGAGGATTTTTTTAAAGGTCAATTGTTCACCTTTTTTTCTGAGTTTGACTAAAGCTGCTTTTTAATGTTGGGGTTTTTTTTGGCATTGATTTCAGGAAACTCTGTTACCTGTATATCATGTGATATATATCATGCTTTATCTTACAGTTTACTTTATATGCAGTAATCTCTCACAGACGTATGTGCTCAGAGTACACAAAGTCAAACTCAACAATGAGAAGCAGAAAGAAATTTATAAAGAGAAGTAGTTCCTCATGTGTGATTTTTATACATGGCTTGAAGTAATACTGTTAATCTACAATATGCCAGTAGCTCTGACAGTAGTGCTAATTTTGTGTGGTTTTTCATCTGCTGAGTTTTTAAAAAAGTAAAATTAACTTGCTCTTTGCGTATAGGTAAGTATTGTGGGGCATTTAGAAAGCAAACTTGTGCATCTGACTGAGGCAAAGCACTTCTATTCCATATAGTTTATTAAGTTCATAGAAATGAGACTTTAGACGGTGCAACTGTTACTTGTGTCAGAACACCTAGACATTGGGTGACTCTCCAAGTGAACTACATGAAGCCAGCTGTCCTTTCAAATGTATGTAACCCACAGTCATGGTGTTCAACTGTCTCAGCTGAAAATTTATACCTGGGAATTTTCTGTGCTCATATATTTTTGAATTAAATTAAACAGGGAAAATGTTAAAAATGGATTTGCAGGAATTGCACCTCCATCTTATAGCGTGACGAAGGTGCCAACTCAGCTTAGTTAAACTATGAACTAAAGGGTTTGGTATGTGACATTCTGAGAAGGTGAAGAGGAATCTCCCAAATGTTACACCCTCAGAGGAACTATTCAAGCAGCTGATACCAGCTAATGAAAGCAACTCTCTCTATGCATATTACTTGTGATAAAATTTAATTTGTTACGTGTTGGGTGTCTCTCAGAAGAGGATTTTTTTAGATGTTTGTTTTAGGCTTCTCCCTGTACTTACTGATAGTTGTCTTGGTTTCAACAAAAGCAGTGTGCTGAGCACTAGAAGCACAAGCTTGTCAAGTCAAGCAAGGCCATCTGAAGTACCGATTTTACACTGATAGAAAAAAGTTTAGAAAAATACAGTTGATTTATTTTAACAGCAGCCTTTTTATGTTGATTTAAATTGAATCTCTAAGTAGTATCTCCCCTCCCAGGCATAGCAGGATATATTTCTTCATCAAAACCAAAGAGGAAATGATTATTTACTAATACTGGTTTATACAAGGAAGCCAGTATTTTAAAAAGAATCCGTGATTAATTGATTTATTTTTTTTTTAATAAGAATACCATTCACAGAAGATATGACAACTTCCATTGACTTTAGTGTAAGGCTGCTGTGCATAATTTCAAGTATAGAAACTGTTTCAAGTATAAAAAGTTCTGGCATTATGGAATGAGTGGGATTCATTCTGTAATGTGAATTTGCTTCTCTGAAGGTGATTGTCTCCATTTCAGTGGAAGCACAGTGCCACACTTTTTGTCTGAGAAAATTTAATCTCAGGGCCTACTTTCATACATACTGTCACATAGATTGATAAAAGAATGAGTCTGCTTGCTTGCATTTCATTTTCCTCCTTGTAATAAATGAATCGTTAAGTAATTGGAAATACAGTGCAGTGAGTCCAGTTTGAATAGGTAATTCTTCTAACAGTGATGTTAATAAGAGAAAAAATGACATGATGAAACAGCATTCAGGAAACAAACCAGTATGTGGAATTCATTTTTACTTGGGAAGGATTTTGTGATAAGGGTTTCTGTATGTTTGGTTGGTAAAAAAAACCCATCACACAAGTAAGAAGCAACTATTATATACACAGAGGTCTTCAGTAAACTTTTTAGTCTTACTCTCTCACAAATCCTGGTTAGCTCAAAAATCAATGCTTCTTCACATCACTGATTTTATGAAGTTCAGGAATGAATTATCATATAGATCGACAGTTGCCCCACTGATTCAGCACCACAGTGTGGACACTTACAAAACCATCATTAATTTCTCACACTTGTGCCAGCAGTGGTTTCCTACATAATAAACACTGTGTCCTTCAGAAGCAGATCAATAACCTGCTAGGTATTCATCTTGAAGAAGAAGTAACAAGAATCTATACTTCAAGAGAAATTCACTCTCTGATATGGTTTCAGGTTTGCAGGATACTATATAAAACAAGACATTTCTTGGCATGAGATGTTATCCATTTATGCCAGCAATATTAGAGGGAACTCATGATGCATGGACTATTGACTTTATTTAAAGTACTGTTAATTTTATTTTTCCCTGATACAGTTACAAAACAGTAGTTCAACTCCAAAAGGTGATTATGTTTTTTAATATTGAGATGCTATCACAATTTATATCACTTTAATAAAACCAAACCCAAATCTCTCACTTTTCTTGTAATACTAAATGTATTTTGTCACTCTTGGTGCATCTCTAAGTAGCACAGAAGAGGCTTAATTTCTAAAAATTGCTCTAACAATGTGATTTGGTTCTCATTCAAATCTATTCTCAAAGCTCATGACCATTTTCTCACTTCTAGATTTAGTATGATTTAATTTTATCATAAATTAGAATTCTGTGAACCTTGAAGTATTATCGGGTTTGAAATGCTTATAGATAAATTGAAATAATGGAAACTCATTTAAATTCAATGTTTTCCTTGGTATATGGAAATTCTTCCTAACAAAACACCTTATTGGTGATCCAGTTTGAAAAGCAACACTTTTATTTTCACAAGTCTGATTAAGCTCTAAATTCTTATCACATCTCGCAGCTTTCACTACTGTCTCGTTCTGGCCATCTCTTCTTTAGACATGGCATTGTGAATATGTTACAGTGAGTCTGTCATCAAATTGTTATTCAACATGATGTATTGAGTTGTGAGATTTAAATAAATGAATCTTTTTAGGATACATACAAATGTAAAAAGTCAATTAGGGATATATCTCTTCTCTGATGTCACCTGCCAGCTTTGTAAAGAGAATTGCTTGCAGGCGCCCACAAGTACACAGTGTTGGGGATAGACAAGAGTTCCTGAATGCTTTTTTCCATTCCTCCTATTAAGTCCTGTAACTGTTTATTCCAAAACGCCATGGAAAACTTTTCAAAAGTAGTGTTTGTGTTCCTTCCTAAGCCTCCAGTATTACTATTTCCAGAGCAAAGCTTAGGTGCTGATTGTGTTTAGGTAGTGACCTTCAACCAAGTGCTCATCCAAGGTTATTTTTCTCTTCTTTTAAAGGAGAGCAGTTGTTCTTATTCTTCTTTTTAAGTTAAGTTGAAAATTACATTATTCCCACACATACAAACCCCATTATGAAATAAAGTACCTTTCAATTTTAAATTCCATGAAAACAGAACAGTACAGGATGCTTTTGCAGGAGACCTGCAATCTTTTCTCCTGGATTCACTGTTACTGACTGGCCACTTGGACATTGAGCTGTCAACCACGACTCTCTGGGTGTGGCCATCCAGCCAATTCTTTGCCCACAACGTGGTCCATCCATCAAATCCATGTCTCTCCAGTTTAGAGACAAGGATGCCGTGCGCAACAGTGTCAAACGCTTTGCACAAGTCCGGGTAGATGATGTCAACTGCTCTGCCCCTGTTCGTCAGTTCTGTAGTCCCATCATAGAAGGCCACCAAGTTGATCAGGCAGGATTTGCCCTTAGTGAAACCATCTTGGCTGTCACCAACCACCTCATTGTTTTCATGTGCCTCAGCATGCTTTCCAGGAGAATCTGCTCCATGATCCTGCCAGACACAAAAGAGAGACTGACTGGTCTGTAGTTCCCTGGGTCTTTCCGTTTCCCCTTCTTGAGGATGGGGGTTATATTAGCCTTATTCCAGTCATTGGGAACTTCACCTGACTGACATGATTTTTCAAATATGATGAACAATGGCTTAGGAACTTCATTCACCAGCTCCTTCAGGACCCGCAGATGGGTTTCATCAAGTCCCATGGACTTGTGCACATTCAGGTTCCTAAGATGATCTCGAACCTGATGATCACCTACAGTGGGCCTCAGGTCTTCATTCTCACAGTCCCTGCATCTCCTTCCAAGACATGGGTGGTGTGGTCTGAGCATTTGCCAGTGAAGACTGAGGCAAAGAAGTCATTGAGAACCTCAGCCTTATCCAAATCCAGGGCAGCCAGTTCTCCTGTTTCATCCTGGAGAGGACCCACGTTATCCCTAGTCTGTCTTTTGTTGGTGACATACTTATAGAAGCCCTTCCTTTTACCCTTGATATCCCTGTCCAGACTCAGTTCTAACTGGGCCTTAGCTTTCCTGACCTGGTCCCTGGCTTCCCGGACAATGTCCCTGTATTCTTCCCAGGTTGCCTGTCCTTGCTTCCACCTTCTGTAAGCTATTTTTTTCTTCCTAAGTTTCCTCAGCAGCTCCTTATCCATCCATGGAGGTCTCCTGGCCTTCCTGCTGCATTTCCTTCTTGTTGGGACACAACACTCCTGAGCTTGGAGCAGGTGATCCTTGAGTAGCAACCAGCAGTCTTGGGCCCCCCTGCCCTCTAGGACTATATCCCATGGAACCTTACTGAGCAGGTTCCTGAAGGGGCCCAAGTCAGCTCTCTTGAAGTCCAGGGCAGTGAGCTTGCTGCACACAGTTCTTGCTGTCCTGAGGATCTTGAACTTGACCATCTCATGGTCGCTA